CGTTCATGCCAGACTGGGGAGAGAGGTGTTGTAATAATGTAAAATATGTGAAAAATCATGTTTTTTTTCCCCGAACAACCTAGTATGAGACCCTGTTCTAGTACACCCCCAAAACAAAATCAAGACTTTATAAAAGAGCATAATAGGACCCTTTTAAAGAAATATACTTATGTTGATGTATTGACTAACATACTAAAGCACATGTAAAATAATTGATTTTCATTTCAAGTGAAGTGTGTTATCCAAAAGTACATTTGTTAATGTATTTTAGATGTATTTTTCTACTACATTTCAATACACTTGCTTATACTGTACAGTATACTCCAGCACAACCTGGTTAAAAGATTGTCTGTAATACATTTGGTGTTGGTCAGTACATGATAAGCAACTATTTTCTTGACAGTAATATTTCCTGAAATGTAAATGTGACAATTTAACATAAAATGCATAATTAAAGATGATCAAATATTTTTAAATGAAGATTAAAGTAGATGTAGATGTCTTTAAAAAGCATGTTTATTACTATTGTGCACTTCAGAAAAAGTCAATTTTTTTTAAAATTGGAGTGTACTAAATTTGGAAAATAAAATAAAATATAGTGTTATATATGTTTATGTTTAATATATATGTTTATAGTATTGTAAACTACACTGGTAATTTAAATGTATCACAGCTTAAATGTTTGAAAATTAATTCTAAATTAAGACCCATTAAAATCGTTATAACAAAATGAATTTAAATTCAGTTAAAATACATTTAATTTTAGTCAGACTACTTATTAAAAATACATTATAGTTTGTTTACTTAAAAAACACTTAGTTGAAATAGATTTTAAATATACTAAATTGCAACTTCATAGAAAAAATAGGTAATACTTTACAATAAGGTCCATTGGTTAATGTTAATTAATGCATTAACTAATATTAACTAACAATGTGCAATACATTTGTTACAGCATTTATTAATCTTTGTTAGCGTTAATTTAAAAAGAAGTACAACTGTTCATTGTTAGTTCATGTTAGCTCAGGTCCATTAACTAATATTGATAGATAAAACTTTGCATTTTAATAATGTATTTGTAAATGTTAAAATTAATATGAACTGAGATTAATGAATGCTTTACAAGTATTTTTCATTGCTATGTTCACTAATGTAGTTAATAAATGGAACCTTATTGTAAAATGTTACCAAAAAAGGTATTTACATACAGTATATATTTAAATATATAATACTGTTAATGTAATCAACATGAAAGCATATTTTAGTTTATTTTAGTTAATTGCTTATTACATGCGGTACACTTTAACCGTATTTAAAAAGACACAATAGATGCAATTATGAAAGCACATATAAACATGTATTAAAGTCCCACTTAAGTGGGTCATAAAAAATCACTCTTAATTTGCATTTAAAATCAATTTAAACTATAATACATTTAAATCAATTACAAATTATATGCATTTAGGTTTTTGAAAAGGTTACATTTAATTCACACGAGTATATTCTTTTAAAGTAGATCATTTGCATAATAAGTACATTTATAGAAGCATGCTAAAGTGCACTTCTCACCTGTCTGCAGAGCGTCCAGAGGGATGATTCGGTGCCCTAAAAACTTGCCTCCCTCCTCCTGAACCACGAGTCTGAGGTAAGCCATCTCCGGCAGCAAGATCTGCTCAACATCACACAGACGTCAGCCTCTGAGCAGCTCAAACGCGCGTGTGTCATGAACAGTGTTGGGGGTAACGCATTACAAGTAACGCGAGTTACGTAATCAGATTAGGCCTGTCGCAATAATCAATATATCGACTTAACGCGCAATATATGTACACTGTAAAAAATGACCGTGAATTTAACGGTAAAAGTGCTAAAAAAAAAAAAATGCTACAGTAAAAACCTGTTAAATGGTTAATGGTAAATTCCCCTACTATATACAGTGAAAAACTGTATTGGACATTACATGTAATTTTACGGTAGTATACAGTTTTTGGAAGTGTAAAAGACTGTATAATTTACAGTGAATAACCGTAAATTGACACAAACATTTGTGTGTCTTTTTTTTATTGCTGAAGTGTGTTGAAATTTCTTCTTCTGCATTCTACTGTACGGACGTAAATTTACTTTCCCTTCAGCCTGAGGCTTATTCATTTCACTTTTGGTGTGAAAAGGCTTTTATATTTGCCAAAAATAGAACTTTTTTATTTTAAAAACAAACCAGCAATCCCTGTCCAGATTTCAAAAGTAACGCAAAAGTAACGCAATGCATTACTTTCCATAAAAAGTAACTAAGTAACGTAATTAGTTACTTTTTTTAATGGAGTAACGCAATATTGTAATGCATTACTTTTAAAAGTAACTTTCCCCAACACTGGTCATGAATGATACGAGAGTCGTGGGATCTGACCTTCTCGAAGACGAAAGGCTCCTCGTTCCACTCGGGGTTGATGGCGTTGGGTGTCGTGCTCCATTTGGTGCGATATTTGCGCTTGGGGTCTTTCGGCAAACCGATGAGCTCGACCTCCACTCCGGTTTTCACGTGCTTCTCCGACAGGAACTGACCGGAGTAAATCTGAACACAAGATACAGTTCACATTAACAATTCAAGAAAGACGAGTTCAAATGAGACGTGAAGAAATTCACTGATAGTGAAAAAACTGCACATAATGAATTTGTGGAAATGGAAATTTATGTTCTTAATAGTCTGTGTAAATTATTAAGATAAATTAAATAATAACTTCATTATATGTATATATATATATATTGTATCTGAGGGAAAAAGAAAGGATGTGATGTCCAGCACATGGTAACTACAGTAATTATCAAAGTGGGAAGTGATGCCCTCTGGGGGCATTTGGCCAAGGTTTGAGAAAAAAAAAATCATTATGAAAATATAATTATATTTTCCTTATTATATTCATTATTTCCTTATTGGTTATTTTGGGAAAATCCCAGGTATTTTGAGCAGTAGGATTATAAAAAAATATATGCTAATATAAAATTAAATGATAAAAGTAGCCTATATAAAACTGCAAAATAAACATTCATCTATCTGCACTTTTTACTTAAGTACATAAAAAATCAAGTACTTTTGTACTTTCACTCGAGTAAAATTGAAAACTGAGTACTTTTACTTTTACTAGAATAATATTTTATTATACAGATCTGTACTTTTACTCAAGTACTTGATTTATGTACTTCGTCCACCTCTGGATTTTTCTATATAAGCCCCAATGCATTTCTGCATTACCTTAATGGTGAGAGTGCTGGCGATAATGGTGTCAATCCTGTCAGTGAAAGGATCGAACTTCTTGTCGCTGCGACGGACCACGTCGTGTTTGAGGAGGTAACCCGTCCTGCCGTTAAACTCAAACAGAGCCATGTTCAGCTGCATGGGGAAATCTACAGCATCAAATACACATCACACCATTAAACCCACAGACACAGTGACAGGAGATCAACAACATAAAGAGCCAGTGTGGTCCTTTTTAAAACGCACAGAAGTAATGACATGAGATATATGTGTATATATGATATATGTATATATGAGATATGCGTTACATATATTTTACACCTGTGATTATTCAGCTAGGACACTTGAAGAGAACAAACTTCATACGTCCACTAATATCAATAAAATTCCAGATGATTCATTTTGATTGTTTTTATTTTGGCTACGTTTTATTTAAAAATTGTTTATAATTGTTTATTTTAATTTAAAATTTTTATGATTAATAAATGGCATTTATAATGATATTTTTGCCCATTTTTTAATAAACGAGTAATTTATGGTCAAAAATCTGAAATAAAAAAAAAAGATTCAAAACTACAACAAAAAAAATTACATTTTAAATAAAGTTTTTTTTTTCTTTTTATGAAGTGTTTTATTTTGTGACCTTTTTTTAAAATAATTTTGTATTTTTAGGATTTAATTAATTATTAGCTTTGGGAAACCCTGTGCTAAATGTAATGACATTCTTGCCCGTTTTTAAATGAACAAATAATTTATGGACAAAATCTGCAATGATTTACAAAAAAAGCACAAAAAAAAAGCAAAAAAAAAAAAAAGAAATTAAAATTTTTTTTTTTTTCTTTTTACTAAGCGTTTTATTTTTATTTGTATTACTTTTTGCACTTTTATCATTTAATTAAATATTACCTCTTCATCAACTCATGAGCCCCAGTCTAATGTAATGACATTCTTGCATATTTTTAAATTAACAAATAATTTATTGACAAAAACCTGCAATAACAAACACACACACACACATACACATACATATATATATATAAATTTTTTTTTTTTTACAAAATATATTTTTTTTTTATTTTATTTAAAATAATCTATATT